GTTGGAGTGGAGAGATGAGAGACTATGAAATGGAGAAAAACAGAAAGGGGGAGAGGAAGAAAAGAAAAGAAAAGAATGAATAAATAAAAATCAGAAAGGTTAAAGAACCACAAAGTTCCCAGGGATCCCACCAGTGCAGCTATGAGGTCTGGGGAAGTCACTCTCAGGTGTTGCCCTACAGCCTGATTAGAAGGCGTAGAGGTATACAATGCCAGGTATTCAGGGAGCGGAAAGAGAAGGAAGATATAGAGAGACATGAAACGGTTGTTTTGTCTCCCACCGGATGCTCCCTGAGGCTGCTTTCTCATAGCCCATTTGCTGGTCTCCGATAGGAGTCCAAGATGGCGGATCCGTGTTGCGTTAGCTGGTAGGGGACCTCCGCGTGAATTTCTCCTCGCTCTCCATTCTCTGTCAGATTTCTCACTCCTTTTGGTGCTTGGCTGAGTTCTTTATCTCTTCATTTGGTGTTTTAGGGTTTCAGGATTGTTGTATTCTCTGTTCGGCTTAGTTTTTCGGATCTTTGATGTGGAGGGACGGCGTGGTACTCCTTCCTAGAGCGCCATTTTGCCGGAACCAGATGATTCCTGATACATTTATAGGCTTCTTCTTTACTTTTTTAAAAAAATTATTTGGTTCTTCTTTTCCACCTTGTTTATGGAGCCCTGGTGCCACAGTGGCTAAGAGCTATGCCTGCTAACCAAAAGGCTGGCAGTTCGAATTCACCAGCTATAGGGTCACTATGAGTTGGAATTGACTCAACGGCAATGTGCTCATTGAATTAATAGTTTTTAATTTATTCTTCCATTTGCATTATAGGGTTTATTCCCAGCATTTAATAAACTAATCTATATATTTAACATGGTTATTTTTAAAGTGTAAAGTTAAATAAAATCTCTATAAGTCTCCTAAATAAAGACTTTGCAGTGCTTTGACTCTGATCACTCTGTTCTATTTTGCTTATAATTGATGTATAATATTTTAGGCCCATCTTTATTTTAATAATGTATATATTATTAACAACATATTAACGTCAACAATTATTAATATCATTAATATTATAATAATATCATTATAATATTAATATAATATATAATATTTATATCTTTATACTGTTGTAATTAATATTAATAATTATTAAAAGTAAAATATTAATGTTAATATATTAATATATTGTTAAAAATTAGTATATATTATACACCATTAATTTTTTCTTCTCCTTCTCCATCTCCTCCTTCTCTTCTTCCTCTTACCATCTTCATTACCATCATTATCATTATTTTATACAATCAATAGTTATTCAGATTTACACATATGTTCACAGTTTTCTTTTTTCACTGTTGCTCCTCTCTTCACTCCTTATATCTGGATTCACTTTCCTCTTTCTTAAAGCACATCTTTTAATAAAGTTTTAAGTATGCACCTGTTAGCAGTTAACTCTTTTAGTTTCTGCCTAAAAATATATTTATTTTGTCAGTCTTTATTGATCATTTAGCTGGGTACACGATCCTAAAATGATAGCAATTTTCTCTTAGCACTTTGATGATATTTTTATTTTATTATTTATTTATTTTTATTTTATCACTTATAAACTGTAGATTTACTTTACAAAACTTAAAACTGATCTTTATTTCCCAGCATTCCAGACCATTGAATCATGATAAATCTGAATTATGACACTTGTTCTACTGAGCTGTCTCTCTAGCTTTGATTTCAGGTTCAACCCTGTTTATATTCAACTAAAATTCTCTAATAAAAATTATGATTACGTTAGGGTCTAGACAGAGTATTGTGCACATATGAGGAAGAATAGTAAACTGTCTTACTCATTTCCTCATCTCAAAGGCAATATTGCATCTATACTTATATTTTTTATATTTAGAAAATTAAGGTTATGTTGAAATACTCTGGTGGGCAATGAATCACAATATCTAGCCAATGATGCCACACTTCTTTCTTTATATAATCCCTGAATGCTATTGAAAATGTGTTCTCCTTCTGATTGGATAGCGAAACTCATCTTCTACATTGTAGTAAATGTATCTGAGGTTAAAGCATAAACTGGCCTCAGCAATGGAGAGGTCTAAGCAAATTCCCTACCTGGCCAGCAGTGTCCAAGATGTCCAAATAAGCTGGCTCATTGTCGATCCTAACCTGGGTCTTGTAAGCATCTTCTGAAAAACACAAGACAAAATTTGCCTTTAAACATTTTCAATATAAAATACATGATCAATTTTTAGATTCTGAAAGAACAAAAAAAGACTCCTTGAGTACCTTTTATGTTTGTGTTTCTATTTAGCTTTCACTTGACCCTATGTATTTTATTATGTGATGCTCACCAACTCAAGGGTCACATTGAAAACAAAATGGCTTACATGTTTTGCATTCCCATTCAGTGAGATCAAATTTTTTTAGGTTCTTGAAGAATAAGACAGTCCCATAGCCTTCAATTAAAGAAGCATGTTTATTTACAGCTAGGAAGCTGCCATTATTTCTATCAGGAAAAGACTAAGAAGTCATAAAAGTCTGTCATGCTACAATTGATTAATCACTTCTATTCTCTTTTCTTCGAGAGCTTATGGTGCATTAAAAAAGAGATAAGCAAATCTCAATTGATTTGCATGCATATATTGGGCAGTGATAATGTAGTGTGGGGATAACCATCTTTCATCCAATCATCCATTTAAATAACAATATTGAAGACCTAGCAAGTGCTAGGCTCTGGGATTCAAAACTCAATAAGACCTAGTTCCTGCATGAAGAAACGTATATTCTAATGAGAGACAGTATACATGTATAGAGCAGAATGTAATATGATATGTTCAATTAAAAAATGTATCCAAATTGTTAAGAGATCAGGAGGAAAAATTAACGAATTCTACCTAGTGAAGAATGCAGGTCAAAATTTAAAGTGAGATTAATGTTTGAACAGCTTTTTAGGTTGAATGGGAGTTTTCCAGATGGGAGAAAGAATGAGGGCACCCTAAGCAGAGATAGTCCTTCCTCCCAGGTAGTACAATCTGAGGGTGGCAAAACTTTAAAGACAGTGATCAGTCATTGCCAGAAGGTCAGGGATGCCTGGAGGGATGAGGAAGTGTAGCACATGGCATTTTTAGGGCAGTGACACTCTTCTGCATGATACTGTAATGGTGGATACATGATATTACACATTTTTCAAAACTTATAGGTCTGTATAGCACAGAGTTAACCTTAATGTAAACTATGGATTTTAGTTAGTAATTATGTATCAATGCTGGTTCATTAGATGTAATATATGTATCACATGAATGCAAAAAGTTAATAGAAGAAAGAACGCCCTCTCTAGCTACAGTGTGAAGAATGGATTGTAAAGCGGAAGACTAGTGGCACAGAAACGCATTTAGATATTTCAGAATCCAGGTAAGAAGTGATGATGGCCTATACTAAGATAGTAGCACTAGGGTCAAAGAAAACATTCAGATTTGCAAGATGTTTAGAAGGTGAATCAATAGCACTTAGTGATCGATTATATGTAGAGGACAAAGGAGAAGGAAGATGCAAGAGGAGCTCTCTAGTTTTTGGCATTTGCCTCTGGGTAGGTAGTTATGGCATTTCCTGGGAGAGGGAATGCCGGAGAATGACCACAAATTCAATTTGGGAAATGTTGACTTTGACATGCCTGTGGATCTTTCAAGTGAGGACTGTGAGAAGGCAGTTATTTGGGTCTGAAGTTCAGGAGAGAGATCTCAGAGTCTTCTTTCATTACATCCATTAATGTTTTCATGCATGCCAACCCCATCCTACATATTACAGCCTGTTCAAAAATACATACACCAAGTCCATATCACCTACCAAATGCAGTTGGACCTTTTGAGTTTGGAACTTACAAACCCTAGAGTCAGGCTGCAGTCTATATTTGGCTTTATCCACCATTTATATTATAAGAGAAAACCAAATCCCTTCCAAAAGTCTTCAGAACATCATTGGATTTTATACTTCAGTACTTTCTCAAACTGTTGATTTTGACCCACAAATAAACAGATAGATTATTTTTAGAATTTTTTATTTAGACATCAAGGAGATGTGGTGGCACAATGGTTAAAGCACTTGGCTTCTAACCAAAAGGTCATTAGTTTAAACCCACCAGCTGCTCCTTGGGAGAAAAGACCTGATGATCTGCTCTCATAAAGATTACGGGGTAGAAAACCCTATGGGGCAGTTCTACTCTGTCCTTTAGGGTTGATACGAGTCAGAATTGACTTGACAGTGTACAACAACAACATAACAATGAATAATCATGGGGAAGGCAAAGTTTCAGTGCATTCTTGATCTGGCAACTGAATAACCCCCATGATTCATATTTTTGCTAGATGCTGGAGAAATAAACACGTACACACATGCCTACACACACAATCATGGTCTCTACCCTCAAGAGGCTTATACTCTCATTATTGGGAGACAAGCATAAAAACACAGATATGATGTGAAAGTCCAAAAAATTTGTAGGGCATAGACCCTATCTGCATGGACTGCAGAAGCTGAAATTGTGGGAAGTATCATTTGCAGAGCGGTCAATCTAACATGAATTAAGTAACTCCCAGCCATTCTAAATCCATTCAGCATAGAACCAACTATACAATCTTTCTATTTTCCATTCCCCTGCTCTTTGTGCTTTTACTGATCTTCCTCTCACAAAAGAGGAATCTTGCAGAAGCATTTGCAATTTCTTTGAAGATCCATATTTTTTTTTTTTTTTTTGTCAATTTCATAAGGAAATAAAACTAGTTACTCTGAGAAGGCTTTGTGACTGAAGGAACAAATGTGAGTCTTTTAGATTTCATGTTTGCTTATTTAAACTCAAAGGCCCGAAGAAGAGCCTGCTGAGGCCAGGAGCAGGCTGATTAATCTAGACGAGAATTGCTCTGTGTGATTATCTGAGCCCTAGTTAAGCCTGGCACGTGAAGCATATATCAAATAAAGGCTTCCCTGGGGATCAGAAAACCGCTTCAAAGAGAGCTGATGTGAATTGGCTGGAAACTAAAGCCAGTCCCTCTATGCAAGGTTTCTTTTTCTCTTTTAAAACGTATCCATCAGAATACACATTTCAGTGTTGGGAATCTAGGTCACCTTCCTGGCCTCCATAGAAACCAATCCCTTTTATTTCCTTGCAATAAACAATCATCTCTTCTTTTTCCATCCATCCGCCAACCCCTTTGCAACTCACCGTGCAGAAATGCACTGACAGAAATACTCTCTTCAATGCATATTCACACCTCCCTGAATTTCAATCATATGCCTATAGATCCAGCCCTGAAGTGAGTTCATTTTTCTTCCCAAGCAAGAGGCCAAGTATACACACACAAAGCCTTATCTGGCAGAAATGGAGACAGCTGTTGGTTATACATAGTTTACACAAAGAAGCACAGCGGGGCCACATTCTTGGAGGCATCTACCACCTTAAAATTCACTTCAAAATTTTAAAGTTTAATATAAGACTATTGCTTCTCTCAGGATATGTCCTTCTCACCGCCCCCTCTAGCAGATTTTTACAAGAAGAAATCACAGAAGGCCTGTATTTAAATCTCAGATCCACCACAAGTCATCTGTTTTATTACCGGCCAGCCACTTAACCGTATTTGTAAGATGAAGATAATAGTGTGTGCTAGTCAAGGCACCGGAGTTTTATAAGGATCAACAGAAGTGACGTACAGGAGAGTGCTTTTTTAAAAAGAAAGCATAATTCAAACTCAAGGCTTATTATATTGTACATTTTTTAGTATTGCTTCAAATTAATTATGAAACTATATGAAAGACTAAATTACTTCTTCTGTTTATATATATTCATTTGGGAATGCTTTCTGAGCAACAAGTAAATCATAGAGGTTTTGGCAGGGTATGTTTGTAATAATCATCAAAAATATAATTGTCAATTAATTGCTAATTTAAAAACCTTAAGGTGTTTTGGATAATTTTCCCAGAATAATTTATTTAATTCTTTTAGCAAAACAAAAATATGTACCCAAATTATTTTAAAATATTTTATTGGTAAATATGAAATTGGACGATTTAAAACCACAAAAATACAGCCCTAACCCCGCTGCTGTCGAATCAATTCTCATTCATAGCATCCCCATCGGACAGAGTAAAACTGTCCCATAGGGTTTCCAAAGAGCACCTGGTGGATTCAAACTGTCGACCTTTTAGTTAGCAGCCAAACTCTTAACCACTACACCACCAGGGTTTCCAATAGCACTAAGAAAAATATAAGAAAGTTATTGTTGAAATTTCACTAGATGACTTTTAAAAAGTCTTAACATAGTTACATATTTTCTTTAGGGTTTACCCCCATATTGTAGTGAAACTATTTTTATATAACTCTGTGCTAGTTAGTTTACATCTTCTAAATATTAAGTTGACCCATATTTAAAAAAAACGATAATAAATAGTATAAAGATTAATATAATCTATTTTAAGATTTTTCTCATAGAGTTACTTAAATAAATCATCTCAATTGTATTGTGCATATGTGTGTAGGTGTGCTTGTCTGCATAGATCAAAAGTTTATTGTGACATAGGGTAATGGACATTTTCTCTTGAACAAGAATTTAAATCATGGCTGAATCAGCATTGAAACAAATCTAATATATGTAGCAATATATTTATCAATAATGAATTTAATACCTATGCTAATGATTAGTATGCTAGGCATAGAGTCTATAATGTTAAAAAAGACAGAAGTGGTGTCTGTCTACATAGACTTTGTGATTTTTGAAGAATACATAAAAATAAACAGACAACTGCTCTGTATTTTACTAAGTGCTATGATAAAAACAGAAGATACCCAGAGGAGATAATGTCGAGCTAAAAATAATCAGTCCCAGAGGAAAGGGGTGGAAAACAGAGTTTGGAAAGAGGAAGACCGTGAGAAGCCAGAAAACAGAAGGTGGGCTGTCTGCAGTCTGATACGGCCCAAGCCCTTGTTCTGCTCTCACAGCCATGGAGTCGCCATGAGTCAGAATCTGCTCAATAGCAATTGATTTTTTTGAATCTAAACATTCAGTGCCCTGCAATAAGAGGAAGTGCATTTTGGGTGTGAAAGATTTTAATAACTGGGCAAATTTAGCTTTTGGGCTAACTCAGGGTTTAGGAAAAACACCCTCCCCCACCATGGAAATAGGAGCTGAAGGC